TCTTCATGGTGCTTCTTTGCAAAAGATGAAGTGTCATCTCCTGCAATCCCTGGCCAATTTCCAACTTACCTATTTGCCTGTTAAGTTAGTAAGCTGATGCCAGGTCTCAGTATTTCATCATGAGTCTTGTTATATTTGGTGGTTTCTTTCCTTGAAAATCCAGCTTTGGGAGTCCTGTGATTATATAAGCATTTAAGCGACACTGTATTTAAAAACATTATTGTGTTGAAATACTTGAAAACATGAAACCTTATAAAGGAAGAAGGAAAAAAACCAAGATCAGTCTTTTTAACGTGATTTTTTTGTGCTTTGAATTTCTGACTATCCTTGAATGGTCATTACTGATGCTGTCTCTTACATTTTAAAGAATACAACACAGTTCTCTCAACAGCTACTGTGATGAGATGCAAGAGCAGAGGTGTCTCTCTGCTATTCAGGAATCTCTCTGTACTTAATTTTAGACAAAATGTACAATAATAACAAAGGGGTTCAGACACTTAAAAATCCAGTGATGCTTCAGGGCTGAGATTTTTCCACCGGTTTAGTTCAGATCAGTTAAACAGCCACGCATGCCCACACCACTTTAGGTAGGTTTAGAAGCCACTGGGCTTACAACCACTATGCGTAAACTCGGAGATCACGCAGGGGAAACGGGGTCACCTGAGCAGTCGCCAAACATGCAGCGAGTTGCAGAACCGTTTAAAAAATCAGCTAGAATCTTATCTGCTTACCCCCAAAAACGTACACAAAGTCCTGCAGGCTCCAAAAACAACGCTGGCCGGCAGTAGGCTTAGCGATAGGGGTTTCTCCAGCTCCAGCGAGCTCCTTGCCTGGCTCCTGCCCGTTGTTGCTCAAGGTCAGGCTCAGAGTGGCTTTCTGTTGGATTGCTCCCAAACTTCTACCTCAACATGCAAGCTTGCAAGACCATAGCCCAGCCCCATGCTGGGGAAGCGGCGAAACCCGCCAGCTCCATCCTGCTACCCTGCTGCGGGCATCCCTCCGATCAGCGGTCCCCATTACGCTAAGGGGCTTGACGGACTTTTACACAGTGCGTGAAGGGGGCCCTGCTCACCACTCCTCATCCCGGAGCTGTCTGGGAAACAGTCCTGCTGACGACATTAATTAACATCTTTCAACAAAGTTTCCACACCGAGAGTCTACCATTGTCACCAGTGGTGATGAAAGACATTTAACCAAATGACATCATTAGCGCAGACTTGCTTACCTAGAGCCCTTGGGGATGCTGCGCAGCCGTGCTGGCAGAGACCTCCCAGCACTGGCGTGCCAGTGGAGGCAAAGCAAGCCCTAAGACAAGCCTTCAGCTCCTTTGTGGCGAAGCAAGGGATGTTTTAAACATAGCGGTGTCACTGCTGATGGAGAGAACCCAGGAAACCACCGCAGCAGCATCAGTTGCACGCACAGCGGCTGTGTTTTTTACATGGCAAATAGCAGAAAGGGGTACTGTAGGTGTGTCAATTTGAAGGTAAATACTTCTAATGATGATGCAGTAGTCGCAAGCTCAGCAGAAAAATGTGTCTTACTACAACACCAGGGCCACACTGCCTTAGTCCTTAAAACAACCTGGAACAGAAATAAAGATTGCTACTGGAAAAACACGAGTCACCTTTTACCACTGCCTTTGAAAAGAAGCGGTGTTATATTTTTACACAACTTTTTTACTTTATGTGAAAAACTCTGTCCCCTGAACTGAGGAAGTGACCTCTTCTGGGATGATACTGCACTCAGTTTAACCCTGAGCATTATATTCTTCTGTCAATCATTTCTTCCACCACCAGAGCAATGATTTTCTGCAATAACCTTGCACGTGAGTCAATCCATTCTCTGGGTTTCACCAGATAGCATTTTATCTGGGCCATTTCTTGAGTCATCGTGATACATTTGGTATCCAGAGGAGGTATTGTGCTTCGTATTCCTTTGGCCCAGAGGTACCAAGTACCTGAAGTTCTGCAGAGCTCCAGCTCCCATGCAAGGCTTGTTACAAACCCACCAGCTGAACAAAACATCCTTTGCCATTACCAACATACCAGCTGACTGTAAATATTCATGAGTTATTGCCCTGGTTTTAGAAATTATTTACATCATGGCTGTTTCATACACATTATGAATGTACGTATGAACATATGTATATATGTTACATATGTACGCTTCAATTCTGTCCCTGCTAGCTATATTCTGCAACTAGCTATCCAAAAAACCTCAGGTGGTTTTAGTCAAGAGGCTGTCAACATTAAGCTCGTGAAAAAGGACATTGATTCTGAAGAACAGGCGTTTGCTCTAACACACGATGTGGAGTCTGCTGACACTTGAGACATGGGGCTATAGGGAAAAACCACTCAGAAGCAGTGACAGAAAGGACAAACTAATTTTGGTTCCCAGTTGCATGGGAGTTGAGCTGGGACACCGGCCTCCTGTGGGAGTGCTTCCGTCACAGGGGTCTGGAAGGTGCTGCTCCCTGCTGCTCTGCTGCCCCGTGAAGCCATGGCTCCTGCAGAGAGCTTTGGCTGGAGCGATCACATCACTTTTTCATGCTGCTGCCATTGCCATTCCAACTGGGATGGGCACAGGGGTCTGAGCATTAGCTTGAGGGTGGCTGGGGATGGAGGGAGGCGGGGGAAAGGCTTTGGGTGCAGCTCCAAGTACTTTTTTCACATGGGGAAAGACATGTGGGGCAATCAGGGGTGGTCGCCTGAAGCAACGTTCGGGCTGGGTCTGGGGAACCGCTGAGGGGCCAGCCTGTGCTGGCGCTGCTTCTGCGTTTTACGGCGAGTGGTAAAGCCAGCCACAGGGCCTTGTCCCACCCGTACAATTAGCTGTGCCTGAAATAGCACTGACGGGCTCCACATCTCATCGCAGGGAGCTGCCACACCACTGCACGGCTCCCTCGCCATACACATATGTGTATATATACACACATATGTATTCAATATACATATTTATATACAATTACAATATATACAGTGTGTGTTTGTGTGTATATTTATGTTTCAGCTGCAACCAGTCTGGAAACAATCCTTGGATCAGGGAGCCGAGGCCCCGGCGCTTGCCAGTTTTCTCACAAGTAGGTTACAGAGAGAGCCTGGCTCTCCCTCGCTCACTCTCGCCTCCTCCTAAATCCCTCCCGCGCTCCTCGCTGTACCCTGGCACAGCTTCAGCGGGAGGCGAGACACCCGTAGCGGTCTCCTGAGTGTCGTGGGTCTCTGCTGCGAGGGAAGAAAGAGGTTTGTGTCCGAGGACAGGGATTTCACTGGGCTTCATCTGGGGTGTTACTGGCATTCGGAGGGGAAGGAGCTGAGAGAAGCTGAATTCACTGAGGGGAGCTTAAACCCGAATTAGGAAAAGGCAGCATAAGTTTAGGCACCATTACAGTTAGGATCCTGCTGAGCAAGGGCTTTTAGTTTGCGAGTTTGGCTTTTGGTCTCTGAGTTCTTACTGTAAGCTCAACCTGTCTATACGTAGAAAAAGAAATCCGAATTATTTTTTAAAGCTGATCAGTTAAAATGCATAGCGGTTTTCTGTGGACTTGGGGGGTGGGAGGGAGGGAGAGAAAAAAAACCCTGAACTAAGTCACCTTTGGTTGGTTCCGATTCGTTTTTACGCCAGGACAGTCTCTCGATTTCCAGCTGCTGCTACAGGCCACTGACAAACCGGCCTGATGCGTAGAGAGATGTTGAATGACACGCTACAGCTATTTATTTTTTTTTAATTCCCCTGTAAGAGAAGCCTGCATGCGCTGCTGAAAGGTCTTTACCGGTTGCACTGGATTATGTGTAACCACAAAAA